GAAATGTTTAACACAGCTTCTGGCACATAGTAATTCCTCAGTACATATCGATCATCATTAAAGAAGCCCTGGTTCTCAAAGGAAACTAAGAAACTCCCAGTGTTATGTTTTATATAACTGTGCACATAACAATGCAATAATGTATACCAACTTAAGCTCTCCTCTCTTTCTCACCCTTTTACTCCCACCTTCACTAATAGACCCTTTTGAATAAAACAGAATTTGTTCCAATATGTGTATTTTGAAGCATAAAGTTAAGTCTAGTAGGCCAAGTAGTTAGTACTTTAAATATAATCACTGAATTTTTCAAAACATACTTTTAGGCAGGGATTGCTATATATGCTATACAGATAAAGGAAAGCTTAGATGGGTTATGTCACTTACACAAAAAGTCAGATTTGGAGCCAAATAACCTGAAAATCTAAGTCAAAGTCAAATGAAATTTCATTTTACTCAACCCCAGGTTTAGATGAACAATCAGGGTTAAAACACTCCTCACCCTAATATACAATAACATTAAAAATTTCTATTTAAAATATCTGGAACTTAATAAATGTAGCAAATTTTCATTAAAACACTGACTTCAACAATGCTAGTGTGAGATCCACATTTAAAATCAGACAAGCTCACACGCCTCTATTTATGCAGTATTGCTATAAAAGTGAATTCTCATCAAGTTATGAAATTCGCAGTAGAATATAAAAGAACTGTGTCTTCAGCTTCCAAATAAGATATTTCTAAAATAATTTGGCTGCCATTTGGGCAAATATATATGTGTGTTTTGTCTTGACAGCTTGTCAACTGGCAGACAGTTCTTGAACATCATATTCATTTCAATTTAATATTGGTAAATTTCTGAATTAGAATTTTATTTTTCACTTTCTGAACAATGAACCCCCCCCCACTCCTCAGCCTTTGCTGGCTTTCCTTGGGGCACACAGGTGCATGTGCTGGCATTTCTGCAGTAGCAGAGGAAGAAAAATGAAAGAAGGAAGGAGGGGAGGGAAGAGACAGGCTAAGAGAGAACAGTGGTACCAGGGAGAAAAAGGAGATGGTAGTCGACCTTCATCCTGGAATTCACCTTCATGAGAAATGAAGGGAATAATTCACACTTGACAATAAAATAGTGCAGCTGCCTCTGCTTCCTTTAACCAGAGAGGCTGGAGTCAAATAGAAACCAGACACCCCATGCATAAAATCGACACGTAAGGAAAGGTCCGAAGGCAAGGTGGGGAACAGATTAATAAAAATAATTTTAAAAACCACAACAATCAATTATGGAACACTTAGTTGCTTTATGCTATACCCTTACCTTATATATTATTATGCAACTCTCACACAACGAAAGTAAGATGGAAATTATTATCTTTGCATTGTAGCCAAAGAAAATAGGCAACAACCTCCCTGAACTTCAAAGTAAACCATATAATAAAGGATAGAACCTGGATTCAAAGTCACACCTGAATTTTAACACATTCCCTGTGATTTTTAGAAGACATATCACAGGCTAAAGATTTAAATATATATAGATATAGATAGAGCTGCATATATGTTAGTGTGGATTATTTAAGTGTCTACTTTCTTAGCAAAAAAAAAATTCAGATGGAGAAAAAAATACATATATTCATATATTTACCGGCATACATAAACACTTCATTATGTAGCTAATGATATTTTTAAAATTCTTTCTTTGCTGAGAATGGCCTTGACATTTGAAAAAGTTTCTAGGGTTTTCTTTCTCAGCATATCTATCAGGGACATGACTTATATACACAGAAACGGGAGTCTCTAACACATTTACAATTAATAGATACAGACTTGGCATGAAGATGTAGAAATCATAATAATGATGCAAAAATAACATCTTCCTTGTTCACTGTTTGTTAGCAATTAAGATAAAGTGTGCTGTATGTATCGTGGGCGGCAAAAGTTTTTTAAAACCATCTTACTCTAATTTGGGCGAAAAGATGAATTAGGCAAGTTCTCTGACCTAAATGACTTGACCAAACAATAAGAAAAATAAATATAGTGTTTCTCAGTTCTTGTTTGTGCTTCAGAATCCAAAAGAAGTGCAAAGATGGAGGTGTTTTTTGCTTATTTGTGTTTCTTTTTTGTGGTAGGGGTGATGGTAAGGAGATAACTTCCTGCCAGAAAGTCATAGAAGTTTCCCTAGAAAAAGCATCATCTCAGCCAGCCATAAAGAAGCAATTCAGTTTTGATAAGCAGGAATAAATAAACAAAAATAGAATTCCTTACATAAGAGCTAGATAAAGTAGAGTCTTGGCAGAAGAAATATATGGGTAAGATATGAAGACCTGAAATCCCTTTTGATTTGCTGAGTATGTCTACCGAAGTCATGTTGTAGGTAGGTAAGAAAGGAGATCAAATGAAGTCAGGCTATAAAAAATTCCCTTGGTTAAGGAGCTAGGGAACAATTCTATGAAAAATGAACACTTATGGAACCTAAGGGAGATTTTTTTCCCAGCATAAATATATACATAGATTAGCTAAGAAGTAACATGGTCAGAATCAAACATACTAATTTGGAACATTACTGAGACAATCTATAATCCAGTGGAGGCATTAAAATCTGATCCAGGAAGGTGGTCATAAGAATGAAATGAAATGATGCATTAAGATTACATTGCAGGCCAGCTCAATGGCTCATGTCTGTAATCCTAGCACTTAGGGAGGCCCAGGCGGGAAGATTGCTTGAGGTCAGGAGTGCTAGACCAGCCTGAGCAAGAGTGAGACCCCCATCTCTGCAAAAAAATAGAAAAATTAACCTGGTGTGGTGGCTCTCACCTGTAGTCCTAGCTACTCTGAAGGCTGAGGCAGGAGGATTGCTGAAGCCCAGGAGTTTGAGCTTTGCAGTGAGCTATGAAGACTCCACTGCACTCTAGTCCAGGGGACAAAGCAAGACCCTGTCTCAAAAAAATAAATAAATAAATTACGTTATAGTCAGGAGTGACTAGAATTAGGGATTAAATAGGCAAGATACTGCTGAGGCTTAATGAGAGAAAAAAGATTCAACAGTATCTCTTATATTTGGTACATGGGATATTAGAGTGTTTTGGAATCATTGATAAAGTCATAGAAGTCAGAAAGCAGAAACATATAATTTCATAAGAAAAATTAATGAGTTGATTTTTAATGTGGGATTTGAGCCTAATTGGATATCCAGGTGAAAGTGTTCCTGAAGCAACTGGAATGTGGGTGACCAACTTAATCAGCAGATGAAGCAGGGCATATGATTTTAAAGCCATCCACGGTAAACAGGTGGCTAAACCATGGGCTGACCAGGAAAGGCAGTTGAGGAAAGGAGACAGGAAAGGAGAGGAGGAGGGGAAAAAAGAGAGAAACAGCAGGAGGAGGAGGAAGACTAAGAGGAGAAGGCTGAGAAAGGAAGAATAGGAAAAGGCAATGAGAAGAAGGAAAAAGAACTATGAGGAACAAAATAATCTTAAAGCGTAAACGACAAAATAAGGGAAAGCCATTCAAACACAAAAGGAGCAGATCAAGTCAAGGAGAAAAATCAAGATATTCCCTTTCTCAGAAATGCATGAGAAAAAGTTACTTGCAAATTAAGGCACTTGTTCTACCAAGAATTTTTCTTTATTTAAAATTTAAATCCCAACTAATTTCCATGAGGAATGTTACAAACACACACACACACACACACACACACACACACACACACAAACACACACACTAGTATCTCACTGGATTCCTAAAATAAAATGTCAAGACCACATTGGGAAGGTAAGGACATTCTGTACTATACCTCCTAATAATGGTCACAAATTTAGCCTTGAAAACCATAATCAATATCTAGCCTTTATTTGAATCTACAGTAAAGATGTTGTTGAGGACATTATTCAGCCATATATTTCTTCCTGGTGTTTATATTTAAGTATTTGTAATTTTCTTGAGCAGTTACCTGGGAATAGAGTTCTTGATCAAGTTTTTCTCTGGCAGATAATTCAAGGTCAAATTTTTGGGCTTGACATGGTAAATGTTCGTGTCTGTATTTACCTAATTCTGACCTTCAATTTGTATCTCTACCTGTGTTTTTTATGTGCCTTATCATGTTCACCTACTTCTAACTTACGCGATGTCACTGCATGGCATGAGGCCTTATAGGTTGTCTTAAATGTAATTTGAAACAAATCAGGGTATGTATTACATATATAGAAAATTACTTTTGTAAACGTATCTTTTGAATTTTGGATGCTGCCTACTGCTTTTGACAGACAAAAAGAAATCTAAAATCCTTCCTTTTATTATATAACGTCTGGGGTCAGAAGTTTCCTATATCAAGGCTAGGGTTTGGGGATGGATAAGCAAGCTCGAAAAAGGGGGAAAAGATTAAAATCATGTTTTGAAATATATATATTTCTGTAAAATGTAATGGATGCTTCAATGGCTCAGAAAAAGTGGGGGTAGGTCAATGGTGATAGCAGTAGCTCCTAAAAAACATTCAATTAAGATAGACACAAAAACAGAACTCTCTTTGGTAACGGTGATAGCCTAATCCACTCCAGCCTCCGCCCCCCAGCTCAATCCAGTATCTGGCTCACTACAGACCTAGATAGCTTTCTGTTTCTCTATATGCTGCATCTGCATGTGAATATACACAAACAAATAATTAAACATCAAGCAAATATCAATAGGATTAGCTTGGCATGTTGGAACAAATCTTGATAAATCCGCCTCAGTAACAATACTCAAAGTCCACGAGAGGAATATAAATTCAGCCTATTGAAGTATTGTCGTGTAAGGAGAGATATTTTAATAAAATTGCTCCTCCGTCAGTTCCTATTACTAAGGGACTAAAGCTATTGAGCTGCGGAACTTAGGCCAAAAAGGGGGATTTGGAAATGCAAATTAGAGATAAGACGGTAATAAATGTCTCTTATTCCCCAATACACCATCCTTGATGCCAGGAGCTATTTTAAAGATGACTCTTAATAGTTCTGTGAAATCGGAAGCATACATACCCAAAATGGACATTTCTGGCACAGTAGCGTGATAGGGTCCATTAAGAAACTCCGGTGCGTTGTCGTTGATGTCTTGAACTTTAATAATAAATTCAGATGGAGGCTCGAGAGGTTTGCTCGTCTCCCAGTCCACTGCCTGAGCTGTTAGGGTGTACTCAGCCTTTTCCTCTCGGTCAAGTCTTTTTATAGCATGGATATCTCCAGTTACATCATTTATTTGAAAGATTGTCCCAGCTCCATCGCCTGATAGGATATACTTAATTTTTTTGCTCCCAGGATCCAGGTCTGTGTGTAGCTAAAATGAAAAGTGGCATTCGTTAGTGATGGAGCAATCTGCAAAGTTATTTTTTTTA